TTTTTTTTTTCGAGAATTTAATAAAATAAAAATTGCATAGTATTTTTTGTGATTATAAATATTACATTTAAAATATTATAATGCATTGAAACATTTTTGTATTTACTCTTATATTTCAGTAAATTATTTTTTTTTTGTCATGTTATGCCTCGCGTAAGTGAGGATACTAAAATTTAATTTAAGAAATTCTCGTTAATTATGTAAGTCAAATACTTACACTTTACATATATACATATAAAATGATCCCATTAATTGCGTGAACATAATGCGGAATGCCACAGTGTCGCGTGCTTAAATTACGACGTGAGGTCAAACATCTACCTACAGCAACGTTTGTATAATTTGGTATCGTCTGCTGTAGATACCAAGTGTGCAAATTAATTTTTACTTTTTTTGAACTTTTGAACATTCATTGAACAAATCGAATGTGATCGAACGATTACACAAATTTTCATGCATATTTGGTGCACTCGTCGCATTATGCTGTAAATAGTTGTCGAATATATTCATTGATTTTGAGACATTTAAGTTCAAAAGAAAACTGGCTTGATTCAAGGTGTTTCTCGTATTATATTATGGATGACGAACTGGAAGACAAAATTTTATATCAGGTAACATAAAAATAATTAAATATAATTTTTTTTTCTTTCGGAAAGAGAAGTGTCTAATACGTATTATATGTTCGATCTACGATCTTCATCCGCATGATTCGTATTCAAAAATAGTTTCGTTCGATTGTTTTCAGATCTTGAAAATGTAATTTACTTAATTCTGCTTAAATTAATTTAAATAAAAAGTAAATTTAAATAGAAACATAAATTTATCTTTTATTAATAATAAAGAGACATATATGATATTGTAGATTATGATATGGTTACTACTTGAAATTACCATTTTCTTTGTAATATTTATTACCCCTTGAAATTTCCATTCTTTTTTTTTGTAATATTTACTACCACTTAAATTTCCATTCTTTCTTTTTTTGTTATAACCATTATCATTAATTTTACATTTTTATTATTGTGCAATAGACATATGTATCATACATGAAGCTAGTTTCGAAGTTTGCAGTGGGTATTCCCACAGGATTAAATGCTGGCATAAATACTCCTTTGGGCTATTTTTGGAGGATCATGAGAGTTTATGCATTGAAACCAGAAGTACTAGTTTGTGGTGCAATTTTGGCAGTAATTCTATTTTATATGCAAGCTGTTGATGTATGGAGCAGATCATTATTAGGAAAAATCCAATATACACTTGGTCGGACTACATCAAAAGTAAATAAATTAAAAAATAAGCTATGTAATAATTTATAATAGCAAACATAAATTTAAGTATTGTAAATGTCCACTGAAAAAATTACTTAATTACTTCATTTACAAGTTTACTTGTTGTTTAATTATCTGTTATAAAAGTACAACAAAAAGTAAAGATTGGTACTATATCTTACTTTTTTTTTAAGGTATCCAAGTTACAATTTTTAGTTGACAATTCTGTAAATAATGGGGTGAAACTTAGTTGGGAATTAAAGCAAGGATACATTGCTGCATATGCTGTTCAAGGTCATAGAGCAAATATGGAAGATCGCTTTGTTGTAAATGAAGATATGAATAATACAGGTGTATCTTTATTTGCGATATTTGATGGACATGGTGGAGAAGTAAGTTCAGAAATGTCTAACATATACATTTATATCTAAATATAATAGGGACTTCATGTTAATAATACTTAATAATTTAACATTGTTTTTCATATAACGTTGTAATTTCCAAATTTCTAAAGTTATGACATTATATGATTATTGTCTTCCAAAATTGCAGATTAAAAACACAGGAATAAGGTAAAAATCCTTATAATGGTTAAAATTATACAAAAATAATAATACAATAGTAAAGATTAAATTAAATAATATGAAATATGAAAATAGATTTCACTAATATTGTATTGTGTTTATTTATTCCTATATTTCATAAGTTACTATGTATTAGTTACTTAGAATGTCATTATAGATTAACATAAAATATCATTATATTTTTGTCATTATTTATATGATTGCTTAGTTCACATAGAAAAATTTTAAGTATTACCACAACAGTGCATGCAATAAAAAAATAATAAAATTATATTCTTTGTATATCAATATTTTTGGAAAATGATTCGATAATATGTAAATAATAGTTAAATTAAAAATCATTATTATTGTAGTTCACTATCATTATTTTTATTTATAACAGAACAGATTATTAAAATATATATTTTAATATGTTATATTACTATTGTCGGTTGTGTTTTAAATAGTATCAAGAAATATTTTAATAATAGTATACTAATAACGTGGTAATATTCTAAATATATTTATTATTTATAAATATAAGATACTAATTTAATTTCAATAGTTTGCAGCAAATTATGCACGTGATAAACTTGTTCCAAACATTAATAAAAAAGTAATTGAATTAAAAGATATGATAGCTGGTAAAGCACCACATATGTCAGAAAACACGAATAAGAATGAAGAAACAGAAAAGAAAGAAGAAAAAAGTGATACAGGACATCTTGAACGCAAAAAATCTTTTCGTAAAACTGTGAGCACATCATTGACAGATGATTGCATGAAGAAAAATGTTGGTGTAACTGATCCAGAACTACTTGATAAACTGGATAGCTTGCCAAGACCAATAACAAGAGAAGTATGATTAATGTTAATTCTGATATCTTTTAACACTTAACCAGCCGGTCGGATGTTAATAACCATTTAAAAAATTTATGTAGACAGCCAGTTGGGTATTAATACCCGTTTAGACTTTATTGTAGATTGAAGCTATTTTTAACTTATTCGGTAAATGGAACAAAATGCATGCAGCAAACTGTAATCAATCTGTTTGCCTAGTATATTCTCGAAGCAGTGCTATTCTGGAAGTCATTCTATCGTGTAAATTTTACATAAAAAGTTTTAAACAAGTAATATTTATTCCAAAGAATGTCAAACTTAGATGGAAATGAAGAAAATATCAAAGAAATATGCGCAGATAATTTATCAGACTTATCAGTGAGTGATATTGAAAGTTCAATTCAAATTTTAGTGATAGTGATGGTAGTGAAGATGAATTGTGTTTTGCCCAGCAAAGAAATCGGCTATTAGTTATACAACTTTCCTACAAATCAGAGAGTGATGATGAAGATCCAATTAATGTCCAATCTTGGTCAAGTATCAATACTTCATCAGCTGTACCTTCAGCAGTTATTTGGGAATGAAAATTATGCCAAATTCATCAGATAATATTACTGACATTGTAAACTTATTTATAGGTTGATTTTTTTACTTATATGGTTGAAGAGTCAAATCGTTATTACGATCAAAATCGTGAAAAATATAAAATGTCTGACAAAATTTTAAAGTGGAAATCTATTACACTGTCGAAAATAAAAAAGTTTCGTGAACTTATAATTCTAATGGGACAAGTGTGTAAAGATTATTTATGATTA